AGCCCAGTGCTGGCCCAGTGCCACCACCACATGGGTATAAATCAGTTGGATAACTGCATCAGTGCCATCTTCCCTTGGGGAAGAAAAGACCTTTTGGGTAGTGATGACTCTTGGGTTGGGTTTCTAAGAAAGAAAATGAACGTGGTACAAACTCTGTCAGATGCACATTGGGGAAGATTTGGGCAAAAAAAGAGGGTTCAAGGTGTGCTGGGCTCCTGATGGGGTGTCCCATGGGGTGGTTGTGGTCGTGTACCTGGCCCTTGTCCTGACCTGGGCTGGGTGAGGAGCTCTGAGCTCTCCAAGCCAGGCTGTCCTCTGCCACCCCACATGTCACCTCCTGGGCACATGCTTGTCACCAACAAGCTGGTGCAGGTGGGGATGGTCACAGCATTGCATGCCAGGGTCATCCCTCACTCACCCTGAGTCAAAGCCCCATCCAGAACCAAAGCTCCCAAAGCTGGGATTGGCTCTCACCTCCTACCTGGCAGCTTGGGGGCAGTTTTTCCAGGTTTCTCCCCATTTCCAGGACACAGAAGCATCCCTGAGGACCCTGTGTGAACCCACCAAGCCTTAATCATCACACCACATGGCCTGAACATCCGCTCAAACATTTATAACCCCTCTTAATACCTGTGCTGCTCCAGTTGCCTTCAGGACACTCCATCTAATCCCTCTGTCTGTGCTTTTAACCCAATCTCAGGAGACAGCCCAGAAACCTTTGCCTCTACAGAGTCATGGTGCTAAGACAAGCCCACGGCTTCATGCTGGTGCAGGGTCCTGAGGAGCCCACCCCAGTGCAAGGATGACTCTTTGCAGCACTGGGGAGCTGGAGAAGCTTTTGGCTGCAAGAGTTTAACTGCCCAAGGTGGGATATTCCCCCAAGTGAGCTCCTCTTTTCAGCAAAGGGACCAAGCTCCCTCCCCAGGATCAGGTTGATGGTGGGGTTTGCTGCACCCCTCTTCTCCCCCATCACTGTGCAGCCTTTAAAACTGGTGTCTCCAGAGCCCTTGGCCAGAGCTCTGCAGCTCTGCTCCTTTAATCCACCTTCTGGGATGTGCAGGATCATGTAATGACTATGAACATCAGCTGGGGGGTCACTGCGGGAACTCAGATGAGCGGGGAGTCCCAGCATGGTGGAGCCAGGGTGCCTGGCTTGCAGAGGAGGTGGGGGTCTGGCCCTCGTCCTCATTTTTCATGGAATCATTGAATGTTGTGAGTTGGAAGGGACCCACCAGGATCATCCAGTCAACTCCTGTCCCTGCACAGGACAAGCCCAACATTCACACCATGTCCCTGAGGGCCTTGGCCAAATGCTGCTGGAATCTTGTCAGGCTTGGTGCCATGAGCACCTCCCTGGGGAGCCTGTTCCAGTGCTCCACCACCCTCTGCCTCAAGAACCTTTTCCTCATGGCCAACCTCACCCTCCCCTGCCACATCTTCCTGCCATTCCCTCTGCTCCTGGCATTCGTTGGTGGCCAGAGAGAAGAGATCAGCGCCTGCCCCTCCTCTTCCCCTTGGGAGGAAGTTCTAGACCCCCAGGAGATCTCCTCTCAGTCTCCTCCAGGCTGAACAAACCAAGTGACTTCAGCCTCTCCTCACACCCTTCCCCTCTCAGCCCTTCACCAATGTTGTGTCCCTCCTCTGGACACTCTCCAGGAGCTTTAGATCCTTTTTATCCTGTGGTGCCCAAACTGCCCCCAGTGCTGGAGGTGAGGCCATACCAGTGCCCACGTGCAAAATTGGAGGTGGAAGGCAGGAACACGTCGTGCAAGTCACGTTGGCATTGATAACTGGGGGTCTGCACCTACGTACCCCTTCCTGGGGCTCTTTGGAGCCCTTCCCTAGCCCCTGGTCAGGCACATCTTGAGCACCCATCTCCACTGCAGACTGGGATTTCACCAGTGGGGTTGTGCTCAGTAATACACCATCCTTTGAGGACATCATGGGGGTGATCTCCCCCTTCCTGTCCTGCCACAATGTCCCCCATTGCAACAGCAGCATCATCCTGGGGTCACCCGCAGGGGCTGCAAGAGGCTTTATTTGTGAGGAGTGATAAATATAAGACAAAAACCATAACTGTTGATGCAGCAGGGATACTGACTTCTTCTCTCCCTCTTTCCCCGTGTCAGATGACCTCAAGGAATTTTTCTTTGCCACGGCAAATGAAGTCAGGAAAACCATCCTGGGCCCTCTCTCTCCCAAGTGCAGTTTGATGGGGAATATCAAGACTGTTTTGCAGCGGATGCTACCAGAGGACTCGTACCAGCTGGCTACGGGGCGGCTGCACATCTCGCTCACCCGGGTGATGGATGGCCAAAACGTCATAGCCTCTGAGTTCAACTCAAAAGAGGAGCTCATTCAGGTAAAGGAACCTTCCTCTGATGCTGTAGGAAGATCTCTACCTACTTGGGGTGGAGGTACCTAAGCAATGATGACTTTAGCTACGCTTGTTTTCTACTCAAGATAGGAAGAGTGTCAGGAAGCTCTGCTAGAGCCACGGTCCCACCATGGTGAGCTCTGTGAGGCTTGGAGGGAGGGATGGAGGAAGATGTTAGGTCCAGAGTCAGGGAGGAATAAATCATGCTAAAAAAGCAGAAGGTCTGTTTCCAGCCTCAAAAAAAACGATGCCAAAATGTGAGCCAGCTCTAGTAAGTGAGTGCTCTTTGCAAAGAGCCGTGTTGGTGCTAACATGACCTCTCAGCTTTCTGGACAGGTCTCTCCTCGGCCAAGTCCCATTGGCAGTAATTTCCCTCATTGCCTCAGCACTTTCCTGGGAGGAAGGAGCTGGACAAAGCATCTGTGCTGCCAAACACCAGGAAGCTGATTAACCAGTAAATTAGCTGCTGGGGAAAGAATCCCAGGGTAAAACCCTAACAGAGCTGACCATCAGGTCATGGGCTTGCTTGTCCCATGCAGACAGTAGAGGACAGTAGGTCCATGGAGATGGTGGGAGTTCATTCTGTGGTGCCTGCCCTAGGCCAACCCAGGATGCTCATTCCCTGATGACATTGGTGGGAAATGGTTGCAAACGGCCTGGCAGTGGTTTTATCATTGACAAATCCCAGCAGAATGAAGATGCATCGTGAGGATGTCTTGCTTTTGTCCAAAACCCCTCAAATATGAAAAATTACCCCAAAGCTTCACCATGCCACCTTCAAAGGGCAATGTTTGGACAGTGATGTATAGATATACAGCTCTAATACTGCTGGCAGCTATAGAAATAAAAAATGAAATGTTATATGTCCTTCTCAAGAGAAGTGTTTCAACTTTATTGAAATGAGATGTTTTCCCCTTCTTGAAACCCTTCTTCTCGATACAGTCGAGTGCAAAGTCCAGGTGGCACCAACAGCCTGGCTCCAGATGATTTGTCAAGCCTGAATTTGCAGGCAACCCACTCAACAGCTTTTGTCCAGGAGAACTTTGACAGGAACATTTACTTCTGCAACCCGTCTCCTCCCCCAGGCTCTCCTCTGCAGCTGCTTTCTTCCTATCTACTGTGGATTCATCCCTCCGTCCTACCGAGGTGTGGTGAGTGATGTTTCCAATGAAACACATGTTCTCAGCAATATGTTCTTTGGTTTGAACTTTACATTCCCTTGAGCAGAGAGGGATATAAATGTCTAGGCTGCTTCTTTAATTAATGGAGGATGATAAAACCTTTTAGCTTGTTCTTAGAATCATAGAATCTCCTGGTTGGAAAAGACCTCTGAGGTCATCGAGTCCAACCATACCTGTCCACTACTAAACTATATTTCTGAGCATCTCTTTATCCCATCTTAAGATGATAGCTGGGTGAAACTGCCATCTGGAGAGCCCAGACAAAGCCTGGATGATGAGATCTTGCCTTGCAGATCTCCAAAGTGAGATGAGAGGACACCTTCATTTGAGTCTCACACACAATCCTCATCCAGGGCAGGATCTGTCTGCAGTGCAGATGTCTCCATTAGCTTAGGTGCAGATTTGCATGGCTGAAATATCAAAAGTTCATGGGAGGATCCTCCCCCAACCATGTGCATGTTCATACTCCGTGAAACACTGCAGTGAAGTCAAGAAATTTGGGCTGGGCTGTTGCTAACCCTGAGTGAAGGAGGAGCACAGCAGCATGGCGGTGAAGCACGTGCAGATGGACCATGGAGCTGCCAATGCATCATGATTGTGCCAAAGCCCACAAAGCCACGATACCAGATTTGCAGCTGGGATAGAGTTAGGATCTTTCCTTGGCTCTTCTGGGTCTGCACTGATTGGGCCAATTTAGTCCTCAGATGTCCATACCTGGCTGTCAGGTCAGATCTCCAGCTCACCCCAGACTGCAGAGCTTGCCCACAAAGTGCATAAACTTTGCAGGACCCGGAGCTCAGTGGCGTTGCTGTGTGAGGTTCTTCTGCACTGTTATTTCATGAGCATTTAATTGGATCAGCTGCAGCCCTTGCAACCTCAAATCCCACCGAGGTGGGTGGTAAATTCAGATTCCTTTTTGGAATCCAGCAAATTCCATTTTCCTGCCCAGTGAGGAATCCTCCAGGGATTTGCAGGCAGTTATTAAACACGGGAACCCTCCTGCTTGAGCTCAGGACATGAAATTTAGATGACATTGTAAATTCAGTGATGTTGGAATCGGTTAATGACTGACAAACAACTTCACAAAGCTTCGGGAATTAAAATCATTCTGTTTCTATTTGAATATCTGCTGTGGATTACAGCACCTGGTGGAGGAGCTGGCTGGGTGCCGTGGGCAGGGCAGCAGAAGGAGCTAGCAAAGGACAGGATGAAGAGCAAGGGGTGGGAAGAGAGGAGATGCTGGGACTGGCTCGTGGGAGGAAATGTCACCTTTGCAGCTCCTTATAGAATCATAGAATCATAGAATGGGTTGGGTTGGAAGGGACCTTAAAGCTCATCCAGTTCCAACCCCCCTGCCATCAGCAGGGACACCTTCCACTAGACCAGGTTGCTCAAAGCCTCATCCAACCTGGCCTTGAACACTTTCAGGGAGGGGGCATCCACAACTTCCTTGGGCAACCTGTTCCAGTGTCTGACCACCCTCACAGTGAAGAACTTCTTCCTAATATCTCATCTAAACCTCCCCTCTTTCAGCTTAAACCCATTTCCCCTTGTTTTGTCATTAACTGCCCTTAGGAAAAGTCCTTCTCCAGCTTTCTTGTAGGTCCCCTTGCTTTCCTTGCTTTCCTCTCGGTGACGCTGCTCCTCAGAGCAAACCCTCCCTCTGCTCTTCCCCCTCAGCGATACATTGATGGAGGTTTCACCGGCCTGCAGCCCGTTTCCAGCTTGGAGGAAGCTGTGATCACTGTGTCCCCATTCACAGGAGAGATCGATATCTGTCCGCGGGATTGTCCTGCTATCTTCTTCTGTTTGCAGATCTTCAACGGCAGCATTCAGATCTCGATAGAAAACCTCTGCAGGATTAGCTATGCTCTCTTTCCACCTAGCACCATGGTAAGCCCACCAGGTCTTCTTCCCAGTTTTCTTTTGGCTCAAACAAATTAATTGTGGCCCTGCCTTCCCAAGCTTTAAGGTTCAGCTCAATCTCCATTGTTAATTAATCAGATTTCAAGGGGAGGGGACAGTACCCACTGTTTTTGCAGAGCATTTTCTTGGTGGACACTGCTGATGGGTAGACAACTTGGAATGGGATCCACCCTGGTTTGATAACCTATAAAGGACCAGGTCTTTGGTGGTTGGAAACCAATCTGTGCTTGCTGCCTTCCCAAATGGGCCATCCCAACCCTCCATGGTCAAAAAAACTTAGATAGATCATAGAATCATAGACTGGTTTGGGTTGGAAGGGACCTTAAAGCTCATCCAGTTCCAACCCCCTTGCCAGCAGCAGGGACACCTTCCACTAGATCAGGTTGCTCAAAGCCTCATCCAACCTGGCCTTAAACACTTCCAGGGAGGAGCAGCCACAGCTTCTCTAGGCAACCTGGGCCAGTGTCTGACCACCCTCACAGTGAAGAATTTCTTCCTAATATCTAATCTAAACCTACCCTAGATCCTTCCAGGGCCTGGATTGAGGGCTCTTTGGCGACTTCAGGTGTTTCTCCTTGCAGGTTTTGAATGACATTTTCTCCCAAGGGTACCAGGACACTGCCCTTTTCCTCTACAGGAACAGTAAGTGCTACCCCAAGACCTTGAAGAGCAGCTGAGAAGCGTGAAGCACTTGCAAACATCAACCCTTTCTTTCCATGTCCCACAGATGCCTTTGGCTTTAACTACTTGAATGGTAATTTCCGCTTCGCCAGCATGTGGGGGAAGAACGACTTTGCACAATCCAGCAGAACACGCGCTGGCCCAGGCAAGAGGACACCACAGTGCCTGACTCCTTGCTTCCTGCCAGGTAGAGAAAGGATTTGCGGTACTGATCTTGGGTTTTGGGGGTGGCTGGGGCCATGTATTGGGTTTGCATGTGTGTTCCATCTTGTGTTCCATCTTATTTTCTCCCCCTGCCCAATTGAGGAGGGGGAGTGATAGAGTGGGCTTTGGTGGGCATCTGGCCTCTAGCCAGGGTCAACCCACCACAGGCCACTGAGGGCTGTTTCAGTCTTTGAGAGGAGCAGTATTATATTTAAGACATTATTGAGTTATTTATTATCGTAGACACTTCTAGATCTGCAGTAGCTCCTTGCAAAGAGGCTTTGTAAGATCAGCTCAAGCTGGATTCTTGACCTGGGCTTCAGTACCTACAAGCTGAGCTGCAGCAAGAGTTGCTGGACAAGAAGAATTATTGCATTTCTTGGGTTATTTCTAATTACTGGTCTTTGTTTAGTTCTGTGTTGTCATTCATGGGCACAGGCTTGGCTCTGTGGAGGAAGGAGCAGGTGACTGGACTTCAGGATCCACTGTCAAAAGTCCTGTTGCAGCCATACAGGCTGCCAGCTCTTGTCAGGAAAGGGTAAGAACAAGAAGAAGAAGAAGAAGAAGAAGAAGAAGTATCATATGATTCTATGATTAAAATCTGTTGTTTATTTTGTTTCTGCAGGCTGAAGAAGGTGTGGGGGCTGCTGGAAGGTATCTGCTCCATGGTAAAAGGGCTCCAGAAGAGCCTCCAAACCATGGTACCTGGTTTGCCCAAGAGAGTTGTGGCTGAGGGGTGAGGTGCTCAGGGGATGCAAACCCTCAGTGGAGGGAGGGCAGGGTGCAGAGCAGGGAAACCCCGGGGGACCTCACCCATGGGTCACTGATGCTGAGTGTGGCTAAAAATTCCAAATCTGGGCTACCCCATATTAAAAGGAGATAATTTTTGTCCCTGTGGTATTATTTATTTAGTGGCATCTGAAAGAAGCTATGGTGAGGCTGCAGCTCGAGTGCTGGGTTCAGTGTTGGGCCCCTGACTCCAAGAAGGACATGGAGGTGCTGGAGCGTGTCCAGAGAAGGGCAACGGGGCTGGGGAAGGGTCTGGAGCACAAGTGTGCTGAGTTCCCTTGTGGCTGAGGGAACTGGGGTTGTTGAGCCT